CCCTGAGCCGGTGAGATTTGAACCGCTGAACTGCTGATCTAGCAGTCAGCTGAAGTGGCCTGCAGTACTGCACTCTACCCACTGCGCCACCTCAGATTACATTGAGGAAAACAAGATTGTGGACATTGGAGGGACATGATTTACAACTAGGTTGGCATGTGTTTTTGTGGTATGGGAAAAGTAAGATACATAGTTATTTTCAAAGGCATTATGTAAGAAATGCTCTATTATTAATGTGGGAAAGAGTAAGAGGAAAACATTATTTGAAGATTCCAATGTGGCTTTCAACAATGGAAGCATTGGCACATCCAAACTTTATTAAGATGGAAAATATCATTAGATATAAAGACGTTCTATCAGAAAAGGGAGAATTAAACAAGAGTTAGAAGAACAAGGGATAGATATGGCTTGGTACACAAAGTTGCAAATACAATCGAGATATGAAAAAGATGCAACGCTTTATGTTTTTTATTTGGAGTTGACAGAATTGGATGAAATACTCACAGGAATAGAAGAGTGAATGATTAAAAAATTATATAATTATTTACTTCATACTAAATTAGAAGAAGAAGAAGTAAAAGAAACAATGATAGCACAGGCAAAGTTTTTGGGATATACAATAGAACTTGAGAAGTGGCAGCAATTACGGGAAAGGAATTATAAATTAAGAATGGCTACAGCATATAAAGAGAATTTGTATGAAATGTTTTATACATGGCATATGTTACTGGAAAGACTGGCAAAAATGTTTCAAGATAAATCAACCAAGTATTGGAAGTGTCACCTTTCTTTCTCTTCTTTTTCCTGCCGGTGGGTGGAGGAAGACTTTCTAAATATTAGGGTCGACTCTCTTCAGAGGCACATAATAATTGTCTGGGTAGAGACCTGCACATGTTGCCTATGTGTATGTTGCATGCTCCAGATTCATTTGTTCCTGTGTTTACCATTTAATGCTACAGGTGCTTGGGATCGGTTTTGGAGGGAAATTCTAGTTCCTGGTGTGTAAAGGTNTTCCGCAAAGCCCTTAAAACCTGGCTGTTCCGACAGGCCTGGGGTTAATGAGTTCTTGTCCCCGCTCGAATAGTATGGTTGTTGAGTGTTTTAAATTGTGGTATTGTTTTGTCCATGTTCTTTTTTCCCTATTTGTATCCCCCCCCCTTGACTTGGTTTTGAGCCGCCTTGAGTCCCTTCTGGGAATAGGGCGGCATAGAAATATAATAAATTCAATTCAATTCAATTCAATTAGGCCTATGTGTTCCTGCTATTTAAAAGAAATTATATAAACATTCACTTTTACAATACATAGAGACAATATGAGTCACTTTTCATTACGGACTTAATATTTAGCATTAATAAAAGTTTATGGTCCAACTATACCAGTCTTTTTAATTTTAACTTTTTAACATGCACACCCCACGTACAAATACACACAGATACCTGTATACTGAATGTCTTTTTTTTTAACAGTTAATGATCATAAAAAATTACCAACAACAACAACCCCAAACCCAGGAACATCAATAAAGTTATACGTGGTAATGTTTTCACTGCAACTATACTCTGCTTTGCTACCATGCTGAGAATTGAATGTTTCATATCTGAAAAAAGAAGCATAACATTAAACCCACCTATTTTGTAAAGATATTAGCACAAGAGAAGCAACCCATAACTCTTACAATGCCCCTGATGGAAAGCACTGTAGGAAATAGTGTATCGTTTCAATTCCAGGATAAGCATGGTGAAATGGGCTCAGCTAAAGGGATTAGAATATCTAATCTACAGAAGTGCAGGTTAGAAAGCATTGTGCTTACCCTATTTTTTCTCAAATCCGGAAAAGGCAAGTATTAAAAAAAAACTGATTTCTAATGGAATTTTGCAGCCCCCACTTTCTCATTTTTTTCAGATCTATGTATTTTTTTCTAATATTTTGAATACGGTCCTCAATTTACAACCATTAAGCTAACATCTGAAGTAGTGTGGTTGTTAAGCAGGTCACCACACAATTGTGACTGATTTTACAACCATCTTGCAAAGGTCATTATGTAAAGGCAGCAATCATAATGTGAACACTATGATTGTTGTGCAAATTCATTGTTTTGGATGGGGCTTCTTTTTCCAGGAACCAAAAGTAAACATACGTTTATAGCAAAAATGTAAATCATGGTTAAGTGAGCATGGGACATTGCAAACAGCCATAAATGCAGCCTGTTTGCTGAGCACAAAAAATATAGTCAAATGACCATAGGAGAGAGGACAGCCATTCTGAGAGGACAAGCATCAGAACTTTGAATAGCAATAGCAGTTAGACTTATATACCGCTTCACAGGGCTTTCAGCCCTCTCTAAGCGGTTTACAGAGTCAGCATATTGCCCCCACAGTCTGGGGTCCTCATTTTACCCACCTCGGAAGGATGGAACCTTGAGCCGGTGAGATTTGAACCGCCGAACTGCAGATAGCAGTCAGCTGAAGTGGCCTGCAGTACTGCACTCTAACCACTGCGCCACCTCGGCTCTGAATCTGGGTTGCAAGTCATAACTTCAAACATCATTAAGTGACCAGTCATAAGTTAAGGACTGCCTATATAGTACTTTCGCCATCAAAGAAACCCCTGTTTTACCTGTTTACACTCTACGGTAAATACATTCTACAGAAACTTGATATGATATTACCTTTTGCTCAACAGATATTTTCCAGCTTTTTAAGTAATATTTTTTTTA